GTGTTGCACTCCATGAATGTGGTGTTTATGGCATTTGAAGTCGACCGGGGATGCAGAACACCTGGCCCAGTGTTCCCACGGAAGCTTTATGGCATGATCTACAGGAAAAGATGGCCAATTATGATAGGATTCCGCGCTTCGTTTCTTGTTTGGACAAAGCGTGGTCGTCTTCGTCTGCGTCCTTTACAGCATGTTGGCTCTTCCTTGATATACAACCGGCTCCCCGCCCATTCTCTACGTCAGTCGTGACTGGCTATAGAGCGACATGGGAAGATGAGTTGAACTACCTAGGTTAATTGTCCAACACGCTCGCAAAACACAACCGTGACTTGTGGACGTCTTGCAGGAACGTTACGTGTCCTCTTCCAAATTCTTTCCGCGGATGGATTAGATATTTTTCTTTTCCTTCTCCGCTGCATGATATATTGTAGCGTTTGGAACCATATGCAAACTTTGTTGTTGCTCGGACGACCTGTCCATCAATCTCTTTCCCCAGATAAGGCCTTGATGACACACTTGTCTTGTCAAAACAAGATCACAAACTTGTGTTATGTCAATGTCGTGATCATTGAGGCCAGATTCATATCTCTATATACACTTTTGCCGGCAGTTTTTGGTGTGTGACCCAGCCCTGACCTCATTGCGTAGTGTCTCTATTGTTATTAGACGTATTTTTGGATAGCGAAGCTGTCTCTTCGACTCTTCGCCAGGAACGGGCCAGCGCCCTGCGGAAAAAGATGAATTGCAACGCCGGCGTAGTCCTTTTGGCTAAGTTATTTCACAGGGCGCTCTACATCGTACTCGCTTCAGCGCGCTCAAAGTCTCTGTCAAATGAAATCTGTCGACGAATAAGAGAGGAGCATACAAACAGTATCCTATCAGTACGATGATCAATTGCAAAATCATTTCATCACTGACAATGACATTTGATAATGCTGTACTACTCCCGTAAGAAACTCGAGGCTTTAAAGTTCAAGTCCAGACTTTGGCAGCCACTTGCGACGTTTACAAGATTTTGTCAAGTTCTTGACGTCAATCATTGAAAGAAACAACCCGTTCTTCGCCCGAAAGATCACATATTACATCCTGTTGACAATTTTTGACAGATGTGTAAAATACAATTTGGAGCCGGTGTCATTTGTCTGTCGTCGCGGTGATGGCGTCGTCCACGACACTACGGCACTGGACACAATGGTGAGAACGGATATGTTTACAGGACCTTGCACGACTGAATTGAACATTGGACGCGTTTACAATGTCCCTGTACGAACTAATGATACAAAATCAATGATGGCTTGATTTCTGTAACATCTCAACATCTGGTCGCTAGGGTTGTTAAAAACAAGACATCGCTACTGCCATTGCATGATAAAATGAAAACTTCTCTTGATATACTCGTATAATTCCGTTAGTAAAAAGACCAGACGCCATATAAGATGATGTGCGGGATTGTGATAATTTGCAATTGGAGGTGTTTCATCTATTTGTCCTGAGAACAAGAAAGAAGTATAAAATGTTGATTACTTGTGAATAGTGGATATCACGTCTCACCTGATGCGCCAATCGAAGCGAATCGCTGTTGGATTTTACGCACAGCGAGAATCTGTAGGGTCACTCAGAATTCTCAACAGGATGGGATCCAGATCCTCAATCGATGGTCGTTTCTCTGAACTCAATGCTTCTTGATCATTTCTAAATTGCCGAGCAATCCCTGTCTCCCATTGCGGAGGTGGACGCGGATCCTCATTTGGGGATT